GAATTTTCACCGATGAGAGCGTTGACCTCTGCATTAACAGCAACAGGATTCTCTTCTCTACATCGCCTGTTGAGTGTGACAATACAGGAAAATGTACAAATAAACGCCTGAGGCACAGGTATCCATTCTGCACCAGGTATGATGTCGGTTAGGCTGCATATTTGCCTAATAACATCTTCTGCCCGACCTAGCCACGATTTCCCCCTCTTCAGTCTGTCGCCCTTTTCACTAAAAAGCGCTTGATGCAGTGGGTGTTTCTTATCAGCACATATTTTGAGATATGCCCGAGCCCTCCACATCCTGATCCTTTGGTTCATTGTTGGAAAGTCAAGTAGATACCTCATTGCTCCACAGGATGTGTCTCTAGTACATCCCAAAATAATGCGCATGGCTTCATTTTGCACCTTTTCGAGTCGTTCAATCTGGGTAGCACTGACAGTGAGGATGGCCAGAGAGTATTCAATGGGGGAAAGGACCAGACCGTAGAATAGAAGTATTAGTAGTCTTTGCTCAATGTTGGAAGCAGCCATAATCCTCATTGCAGATAGACCTTTGCGTGCTTTTGTTATCACATGGTCAACGTGTTCCCTGAATGACAAGCTGCGATCGAACCTCACCCCGAGAAACGTCATAACGTTGGTTCTGATCAATACATTATCACGCATTTTCACTTCTGGTAAGTCCGACTTGACAATGTGATTGTTCAAAGAGAACCATGACACTGATGCCTTCGAAGGATTGACATAGGCATTGGAACCATCACACCAGGCGGCAATTCGATCGAGTTCTTTGTGCATAGTGCTGGCGATCTCCTGTCTATCACGCCCTCGTCGATAAATCAAAATGTCATCAGCAAATGACAAAGTCCTCCCCTTTCCTTTCAACTGCTGCTCAGTGATCATCACCGTATAAACGTTGAATAAGACTGGTGATAGCGGTGATCCCTGTGGCAAGCCTGGACATATCGTTTGCGGTTCTGAGGACCAGCTACCACATCTTAGTACAATCTTTCTCTGGAACAGGACCGCAGCAATCCAGCGGATCAGAATAGGATTAACTTCTAGTCTAAGCAGTAATTGCATTAAATAATCGTAGGGTACTTTATTGTAGGCATCTTCTAAGTCCAACACTGCCGCACATGTCTCTTCTTTAATCTGAAATCCCTCGTACACATCGTAGGCGAAAACTGCAGCATTGAACCATGTCTCTTTATTTAACCTGTACCCTCCAAGTGTTGGTGGGAACTTATCATGTAGTTCCAAGTAGGTGGTCAATCTTTGTGCGACAATTTTTTCCAAAAGTTTGCCAACAGTATTCTGCATCGAGATGATTCTGTAGCCGCAGATCTTCGAGTGGTCTTTATTAGGCTTTGGTAGTGGGAACAAATAACTATGGAGCCATTCCTCTTGTATCTGGCCACTCTGGATGCTGATATTGAATTCCTTTGCCACGCTTTTCAAATCAGCATTCGACATCATCAGCATGTCGTTGTATCGGATGCCGTCAGGGCCTGGAGCAGTGCTGCGCGATTTCTTGAGGCAAGTTCTTAAGGTATCTGCAGTGATTGTGAGATCAGTGCCTAGCACAGTGTTCTCGCACAGCATCGACAGTTTCATCTTAACCCCTATTCTTGTAGCTTCGTCTTTTTGGTCAGTTTGCTCCAAGTAGCGCGCCAGAAGGGTTTTTTCCTTTATCAGCATCAGTTCTCTGCCATATCAGGTCTGTACCCTGAAAATCAGGGATACCCCTTGGTCGTGTGGCGCCGTGCATGCTCCGTTGAAGGCGCCAGAATGTCACAAGAGATCCCTCGGAGCAAACGCTCTTGCAGAATTCGTTCCATTTCGCTGTCTTAGCTTCCTTCGCAATTAACTTGAAAGCCACTGTCTGCTTGTTGACCTCATCTTTCAGACTGATCAGGCGTTCAGAAAGTGACGGATCAATTTTCCTTGCCTTTTGCCATGCCTTGACAGCTTTCCTTTTTTCTAGCCACGCTATGTTGACTACTTCATTCCACCATGGTGGCTGGGCCCATCTCTCCCGCCGTCTGCGATCTGCTCTTGTTTTACGTCGTCGGATTTTGCTAATGGCATCTTGCCCTGTACGGTCATATATAAAAGCAGGCACATTGATTACATGACCTTTGTTGTTGCTCTTCTCTACCAGGACGACGCAAGGAAAGTGATCACTGTCGTGGTATCCCAGTGTGCTCCACCTGCATCCTGGTGCAATGGAGGGAGACACTAGGGCCAGGTCAATTACGCTGTCAGAATCCCCTTGTCGTGTTGCCATTCGGGTAACCTTTCCGTCGTTCAAGCATACTAGATTGGCAGACACTAGGGCATCTTCCAGGTCTTCTCCCTGTTTATTAGTGATTACATTGCCCCACTGGTGTCCTCTGGCGTTGAAATCTCCGCAGTAAAGGACTTTCTTTTCCTCCGTCTGGAGCAAACTCTGCCATTTCGCTGTATCCACCTTTCCATTGCAGGCGTACACATTGACAATCACAAACTGGGCCGAGCCCATCACTCTGACTGCGTGTACTTGTAGGTCGTCATTATTCCACTTAGACATGTCCACCTCAGACACCGGTATGTGGTCACGAACAAGAATGAGCTGTCCGAGGTGCCGTCTATTGTAGAAGGATTGGAAGCCCGCAATTTTAATGTTCTCGTCCACGAGGTGTGTTTCCTGTAGGACAACAATGTCGTTGCTGTAGAGGAGCTTCTCAAAAATGGGTCGGCGTTGACTAAACGAAGCGCAGTTCCAGTAGAGAACACGAACATACTTTAAACTGAGTCTTTCACATTTCAGCCGCTTCCTGCAGGCGCCACCGTGCTTGCCTGTTCGCGTTTTCCTTGTCCGTCTACGGGTTGTTTTGAATTGGTAAATAGTCGCCATCGGACGTCGAATACATCCTGAGGGAAGTCTAAACTCACGTGCATGTACTCCATTGCACGGTTCAGACCCCATTCCGATGAAACTTTCACATTATACGTGAGCGAAAATAGCTAATTTGCGCCATTCGCCTCAACGGACGAAAAAGCGTACCGCCATTGTGGCTGTTTACACCGGAAGTCCGGGTATGGGATATTTGTGAAGCTAATTATCACCTTTATATACCGTTTATGTCTTGTAATCTATAACTCCTTTGTGTAGTAACCTGTGAAATGCTCTAAATGTCATCAATTCTATCCATTTCAACATCTTCGGCCTCTCTCATCTAAAAGAGGTATTTCGACAATACTTCTTACGGCGACTCATATTTATGGTACGACTGTTTAGGGCCCACGACAAAGGCCGGGGCGGGGCTTCATAATAACCCCCCAAAAATTGCATTTCACGGGGGGACGACTTACGGCCCTAAGGTCGGTTTGCAATTTGTTATCACCTTAGGTTTATTATCTGCCCCAGTATGGGACGCATTTGAGGGGGGGGGGGGTTAATTTTAAAGCACCCACCCCGAAGCCCTAAACAAAATATAACTGTTGGATAAGATTTCTGGGACTTGCGCCCTGGCGATTCTCGTCCGAATGCTGGCACTTTGTCTCACCGCTTGTTTGTCACTCGTTGTGTGGTCTTGGTGGAGTTGATCGTACCTTGGTCATTGTTACCTTACGATAGATTGCTTCCCTTGGGGTCGTTGTTTGAAGTATTGCCGATGTTTCTGTGCTTTCGTTTCCTATTTTTAAATCTGCTTGGCGATTCCCTGTCCGTTTCTAGCTTTCCTGTCCTAATTAATCCAAAACAACGAACAAGTCACAAGGTATAATTAGTATTTTAAAGTGTGTTAAATATCTCTCCTTACCGCCACAAAACAATCAACAGAAGTGAAGCCAGCAGCATACACACAAGGGGAAAAAAGCGCCGAAAAGCACGCATTTTCTACTTTGGCACAAACTCTTCAACCACAATACCAATAACATTTCTGGCTAACAAATGTTTATTCAGAATTTTTTTCTGACCCACGCAGAAGCAAACACGTGAGTGGATTTGTGCGTTCAGGTCAAATCACACCGTTGATTCATTCAGAGCTAAGTGCAGTCTAAACATCGAACATACAGTTATACTCAGAAACCAGCTGAAGATTATCTTGCCGAATAAGTTTCGATAGGGATTAGGTCTTGCGTTCAGGATCGATTTACCACGGTTGTGTCAGCTGTAAATGAGCAGCTGGCAACGATTAAGTGTCCTGGGCTCTCGTTTGGAAGAACCAGATTCGAATCTTCGGAAAGAGACAAAATATTTTTTTCTTAGGGGCACAAATTAAATCTTGAAATGTACAGTCTGTGGCGACTGCACTCCTCGTACAAACCCAAATACCGAGGCTCCAAACCCCCTCCTGCATCTTCCTAAATAGTGCCAAATGCAATCAGTATTGACAGTTCTACTGTCTGTAAATTGTACATGTGTATGGTGGTCTATTGTTTAACAGAGCGACAGCACTAAATATTGGTATTATTCTCTATCGTCCTTTTCAGGGTGAAATTTTGTATTTAAAGCTACACCCTGGCTTTTGCCGGGGGCCGCAATATAGGCAGGCCATAAATATGGCCAAATGTCTGAACGCGGTTTCTGGGACCTCTCCACGGCGATCCTCATCCGCATGGTGGCACTTTGTGTCATCGGGTGTTTATCGCTTGTGTGATGTCCTGGTGGAGTAGAAAGTCAGTCAGTCAGTCAGCACTAAATATTAGGCAACATATCAAAAAGATGAATAGTACCACCAAGAAAAATAAGTAGTAAAAGTAAAAACAGCTGCTAGCAGGCAGGTAAGCAAGCAATTAGTCAGGAAGATAATTAGGTTAGTACGTAGATAAGTAGATAAACAGATACATAGGTAGTTAGGTAGTCAGCTGGGCATAGTTATATTCATTCATCGATTTGAAATAGATGGTAATTTAAAATATCGATACCCACATGGTAAGTAATTTATCCAAGGCAAGAGCAGTAACAATGGATAGATTAAATAACTCATTTCCACACACTACACACAGAAGTTCTTAATTTCCCAACCCTGTCCACATACGGGGATAGTAGTGGTATCTGTTGACTCGGTTTCCTAAAGGTGTTCCTTTCTCCATATACCCGGTGTAATATATAACGTATCCATTAGCCAGCCATCCACTCCACCAACCATAAGTACCGCCAGATATGATCATATGTTCACATTTAGACAAGACAGCTAAATGAACGGCTGATGACGCAGGCGGCATTATAGAAACATTGTCACCTAACAAGTTTTCGCTACACCATTTTAGATCATCGCTGGCCACTAGAAAGACAATATCTCTTCCTGGAAATTTGGATTTCATCAGCCCGAACGCTTTCATGAAGTAAGATTTTTCAGCAACTCCATAACCCATTCGTTTATGCCTCTCTGTAAGGAAGTCGCCCCGTCGTACATGCACTCCAACAATCATTGATGAGTTGTATTTCACATATACTTCACGAACAATTTTGGCAGCATCATTAGCAATGGAATCATGGAAAGTAAACTCTTGTCTGATTTCATCCATTACAGCGGCGAAGTACCAAAAGGATTGCGTGTAGCCTTGAATTTTGACGTTCTGTAAAGGTAGATTCATCAGTTTGTCATGGAAAAAATACTCTTGCTTGACCACTGGCCATCTAGAATGAAAAAAAAACATTTAAATGTTAGGACGAGCAAAGTAAATTAACGACTCACCTTATTCATCTTATGTATGTATGTATGTATGTATGTATGTATGTATGTATGTATGTATGTATGTATGTATGTATGTATGTATGTATGTATGTATGTATGTATGTATGTATGTATGTATGTATGTATGTATGTATGTATGTATGTATGTATGTATGTATGTATGTATGTATGTATGTATGTATGTATGTATGTATGTATGTATGTATGTATGTATGTATGTATGTATGTATGTATGTATGTATGTATGTATGTATGTATGTATGTATGTATGTATGTATGTATGTATGTATGTATGTATGTATGTATGTATGTATGTATGTATGTATGTATGTATGTATGTATGTATGTATGTATGTATGTATGTATGTATGTATGTATGTATGTATGTATGTATGTATGTATGTATGTATGTATGTATGTATGTATGTATGTATGTATGTATGTATGTATGCATGCATGCATGCATGCATGCATGCATGCATGCATGCATGCATGCATGCATGCATGCATGTATGTATGTATGTATGTATGTATGTATGTATGTATGTATGTATGTATGTATGTATGTATGTATGTATGTATGTATGTATGTATGTAGTCTGTCTGTCTGTCTGTCTGTCTGTCTGTCTGTCTGTCTGTCTGTCTGTCTGTCTGTCTGTCTGTCTGTCTGTCTGGATGGATGGATGGATGGATGGATGGATGGATGGATGGATGGATGGATGGATGGATGGATGGATGGATGGATGGATGGATGGATGGATGGATGGATGGATGGATGGATGGATGGATGGATGGATGGATGGATGTATGTATGTATGTATGTATGTATGTATGTATGTATGTATGTATGTATGTATGTATGTATGTATGTATGTATGTATGTATGTATGTATGTATGTGTGTATGTATGTGTGTATGTATGTGTGTGTATGTGTGTGTATGTGTGTGTGTGTATGTGTGTGTATGTATGTATGTATGTGTCTGTCTGTGTATGTCTGTGTCTGTGTGTTTGTGTGTGAGTGTGAGTGTGTGTGTGTGAGTGTGAGTGTGTGTGTGTTTGTGTGTGTGTGTGTTTGCGTGCGTGCGTGTGTGCGTGCGTGCGTGCATGCATGCATGTATGTGTGTATTTATGTGTGTATTATGTTCGTATGTATTTATTATGAACGTATTTCTGAGTGTGTATATTACCGAAACCCATAAGACAGTGTGTAAAAGACCGTTAACTGTGTTGTTGCTTGTACACATTGTTGGCTAGCCCATGCCGTAAAAATAAAATACTTCAACTTGCAAAACCAACTAAGTATACACAAAAGTAAACAGGACTGCAGTTTGAATCACGGGTAATTACATTCTTTCACTGAGGAAAATCCCCATAACTGGCACCTGGAATGTCCCTGCACGGGAATCAGAAAACAATGGGGTTTGAGGGTTTGAACAACATCATGGCACACTGGTACTAAGCCATAAGTGCTCCATTCTTCTTCTAACTCAAGTCTGAGTCCGAAGAAGCTCAGCACAGTGCAGAAGCTCTGTATCACCGGCGAGGATCCTGAAATACTTTGGGTGGATTTTTAACTCCAAATTTTGTAGGGCCGTTGGGCTACTCTTTTCGATTTCCAACTGCCACGGTATTTTTTACCAGCGGAACAATGCACATGGGCGTCTGATCTCACTACCCAGAGACCAGGGGGAATTACAAGTCCGAGTGAAAAAATCCCAGCCCTTACCGGGGATTGAACTCGGCACCTCTAGCACTCGAGGGGAAAACATGCCTCGAGACCACGCAGCCCCCTTAGAAAACAACGAATGACCACCAATGATGATAGCTTTGGTCGTCGGCCGTTGGACTTAAACATTTATATTGCTGGTGATGATGGCTGACTAACTGTTGGTATTTTTTTTTTCTTTTCTTACGCGCAGCTGTCTGAAGGTCTAGCACTCCTTCAGCGCTAACAGATCAAATCCATTCCAACTTTACAGGCCGTCGCAGAACCAGCCCAAGAATTTTTTTTTGCTGTTGTAGTTTTTCTGTGCATATATACTTTCAGTAGTTTACCAGTGTCGGACCAATATATCAACTACAGGACCACAAATACAAACTACAGGACCACATATGCCAACTACAGGACCACATATTCCAACTACAGGACCACATATACCAACTACAGGACCACATATACCAACTACAGGACCACATATACCAACTACAGGACAACATATACCAACTACAGGACCACATATACCAACTACAGGACCACATATACCAACTACAGGACAACATATGCCAACTACATGACCACATATTCCAACTACAGGACCACATATACCAACTACAGGACCACATAGACGAACTACAGGACAACATACACCAACTACATGACCAATATACCAAATACAGGACCACATACCAGAATTGCAGGACCAATATATCAACTACAGGACCATAAATACCAACTACAGGACCACATATACCAACTACTGGACCACATAGACGAACAACAGCACCACATATACCAAGATTACATTCATCAACTACATAACCAATATACCAACTACAGGACCACATACACCAACTACAGGACCAAGATATCAACTACAGGACCAAATACACCAACTACAGGACCACATATACCAACTACAGGACCACATATACCAACTACAGAACCACATATACCAACTACAGGACCAAATACACCAACTACAGGACCACATATACCAACTACAGGACCACATATACCAACTACAGGACCACATATACCAACTACAGGACCCCATATGCCACCTACGGGACCACATATACCAATTACAGGACCACATTCACCACCTACAGGACCACATACATCAACTGCAGGACCAATGTACTAACTACAGGACCATACGGACGAACTACAGAACCACATACACCAATTGCCTGACCAATATATCAACTACTGGACCATACGGACGAACTACAGAACCACATACACCAATTGCCTGACCAATATATCAACTACTGGACCATACGGACGAACTACAGAACCACATACACCAATTGCAGGACCAATATATCAACTACAGGACCATAAATACCAACTACAGGACCACATATATAAACTACAGGACCACATAGACGAACTACAGGACAACATATACCAAATACAGGACCACATATACCAACTACAGGACAACATAGACGAACAACAGCACCACATAAACCAACTACAATATTACATTCATCAACTACATAACCAATATACCAACTACAGGACCACATACACCAACTACAGGACCACATTTACCAAATACAGGACCACATACACTAACTACAGGACCACATATACCAACTATCCGACAGCTTGGCTCTGGTTTAATGTGAAAATAAACATGAAAACAACATTAATCATGTGTGTGGCAAGATAACATCAAACAATCGACATCAAGAATCTATATCAAAGTGTAAAACAAGTTAAACACTTGAAATACTTGGGGAGCATCAGCAGAATAGACAGAGAGATTAAAACAAGAACTCAACAAGCTAACAATGTCAAGTACCAACTGACTAAAGTTTGAAACACCCGGCTATTCCACTAGAGAGAGAAAGACAAATTATAAAAGCCCTACTTACATCTACCTCGTGTTGTCAGTGTCATACCTGGAAATTGACTAAGAACACCAGAGAAAACTGACCACCTGGGAAAAAACAAAAGTTTCTGAAAGGCCGTGAAAAAACAAACTAGACAAGATCGTGTGCCTAACGAAAAATAAAAATACTTAATTGAACAACACCTATAATTAAATTCATTAGGGTAAAAGTACTGAAATGATTTGGCTATTTAATGAGAACTTATAATTTACTGATGCCTGCATCGAGAGAGAGAAACCTGAAAGTAGAAACGCCTGATAGGCAGGGGACGTCTAACAAGAAGATGGTTTTAAGGAATCTCTGATACCTAGTAACTCTACAACAACACAGCATACCGGGGAATCGAGCGTGCCTTGGCTCTGATACCAATTATCTGTTACCCTATGTCTCTGGCAGCACAAAGAAGAATATGATCCCAAACAACACACACACACACACCTAGTATATATATATATATATATATATATATATATATATATATATATATATATATATATATATATTGCAGGTCGACCCAGCCTAAAATGGGTACCAGGATGGGCTGTCCTGGGAAAGTAAAGACAGCCGGCGTAATGCTGACCACATTACCCACAGAGTGTTGATGGTCTGCAAAAATATGGGACGCTCTGCCCATATGCCCGATGCGCCGAAAGGCGTGAAAAGGGAACTTTACTTTACTTTTATATATATATATATATATATATATATATATATATATATATATATATATATATATATATATATATATATATATATATATATATATATATATATATATATATATATATATATATATATATATGCCTGGCTCTCTAGCGTAGTTGGCTAAACCGGATTGCGCGAAGACCGGGTGACGAACTCCTTGTGGTCCGGGTTCACTCCCGGGGGTAGGCAGAAAAGCCACATTTCTCAAAGATTTACGGTATTTACAATGGCATCAGGGCCGAAAGGTTGCGATATCCATATACCGAACCTAAGGGTTAACAACTCATGGCTTCTGTATACTAAAACAAACAATATATGTATATATATATATAGACATTATACTTCAAATTAGTTTTTTTTTAAAGCGTGTCTTCCATGCAAAGACATAACACTTACAGTTTTGTGCTTTCATTAACAGCAACGTAGGATATCTTGAACGTCTTCTCCAAACTCGTCCCAGGCTCGATGAACATCCGTCTGCCCTGTGTCCGACTGATACCAAGTAGAGAAGCGTACTTGAACATCTGGTTTCCCAGTCGTCCCGACCAAATGTCGTTAGAAGTAACATAGAGAGTGGCGTTGCTGGCTTGTGAAGATTTGTTGTATAGTTCATAAAAGCTAATAGTTTTACATGTTGTTGTAACTGTTATGTTGGACTGGGCTACGCAGCACGAAATATTGCCGGTGGTATGTTGTCCTGTTGTGTTACTACCAGACATTTCCGATGCCATCGGTTTGTGGTAGTTAGAACTGATGGATAAATAGATATTATACATGAACTCACAGTAGCAGTCTAATCAGTAGTAGTAGTAATGGTAGTATCAGCAGTTGTGGCATAACAGATTGGTTCTGAAAGAACCAATCTAAATGTCACTAATAAGAGCAAACATTGTTATAGTAGAGTGGTAGTAGAAGCATCTTAAGCAGCTGCTGTAGTAGTAGTAGTAGAAGTAGTAGTAGTAGTAGTAGTAGTAGTAGTAGTAGTAGTAGTAGTAGTAGCAGCAGCAGCAGCAGCAGCAGCAGGGTTTTATTATAGTAGTGGCGTCACAATTTGGTTCTGAAAGTAGCAGTCGAAATGTCACTAACAGGAGCAAACATTGCTATAGTAGAGTAGTAGTAGCGCCATCATCAGCAGCTGCAGTAGTAGTAGTAGTAGTAGTAGTAGTAGTAGTAGTAGTAGTAGTTGTTGTTGTTGTTGTAGCAGCAGCAGGGTTTTATTATAGTAATGTTAGTTTAGTATGTGTTGTCTACTAACACTCAATAATAGTAATTTAGTAGTAGCAGAAATAGGAGTAGAAGCAGCAGCAGCAGTAGTAGTAGTAGCAGTATTATTATTAGAAGTAGGAGCAGCAGTAGCAGCAGCAGCAGCAGTAGCAGCAACAGCAGCAACAGCAGCAGCAGTAGCAGCAACAGCAGCAGCAGCTGTGTATGTATAATAATGTTAGTTTAGTATTTGGTGTCTATTAGTATTAAATGGATATTGGTTGTCACATTCGCAAATACTACGCATTTTTTTTTCACTCAGAGACTGATAGTCCTGGGGTAGGAGCCTGTCTTACTACTAGGCGCGTCCACCAGGTGACGAATGGTGGAAAGGCCTCTAGATATATAGAGGTTAGCCACGAATATATTGAATACGTGGCCGTGGACCAAAACAGGTGATGGTCATTGAGAGGAGGCGAGTTAGTTGGTAAGACAGCTAACTATAAAATACCTCAAAACTCTACGACATGACAATCGATGGGTAGGAGACGCCCCCCCCCCCCTAAATGCTGCTTTGCAGGGTAAGTCTCTTTAGACAAAGGCTATCGTAGCAAACCATATACAAAACGGCGGAAGGTAAGGGCAAACCACCTATGTATTATCCCTAGAAAATCATGCCTCGAAACATAACGAATTCAGATTACGACGTGAATGGGGATTCCAGAAGAATCACTTCGTCCGGTAGAGCGCATCATAATCTACGGATGATCTCTGACCAGCATCTGGCTACTGTAGAAAAAAGTAAATGGTAGACACATCCTGAACATTGGTACATGGAATGTCAGAACACTCGTACATACGGAAAGCTAGACGACATCAAAATGGAAATGAAGAAAATGAACATCAACATATTAGGAACTTGTGGTTTCAGATCAACATATAATTTTTGCTCAGGTGGGAAGGAATATAGTAAGGGAGTTGGTATTATTTTGGATCCAAAAACTCAGAAACTGTGAAAGTATTTTGGACAATATCAGATAGAGTACTATTAGTAAACTTCACGGCAGTCCGTTAGTCATCAACTTAGTACAGATTTATGCCCCAAAAGCAGATAGTTCAAAAAAAGCTATTGACGCATTTTATGACAAGTTAGACAAGGCTGTTGATCAATGCCAAAATTGTAAAGTAACAACGCAAAAATAGGAAATTTAAAAAATGTATGGATTAACGGTTCGCTATCGCATCGGAGAAAAGAGTCTGAGAGGTGACAGATTAAAAGCATGGGCTGAGTCGCACTGCATACTAATAGGTAACACCTGGTTTAAACACCATTCTTGAAGATTGTGGACTTGGAAAAGTCCTGGCGATTGTGTTCGCAATCAGATTGATTATATTTTGATTTCAAGAAGATTCTAGAGCCGCTTAGTTGGAGCAAAGACTTGACCAGGAGCAGACTGCTTTAGTGACCATGTTTCAGTTATAGGAAAGATCAGAAAAATAATTCTTGCATGCTACATACATCCAGTTTTAACATGTGGCTGTGAGTCCTGAACAATCAGTAGCCAGGCCAAACAATTTCTTGAGGCCTCAGAGATGTGGTTTTACAGACGAATGCTTAAAATACCTTGAACAGCCAAAAAGAGCAACCAAGAGGCTTTTAAAGAGGCGGAAGCCCGAAGACAACTTATTACAGATAACAGAAGAAGACAGTCATCATTTTTTTTTTTTGGGGGGGGGGGGCATGTTATGAGACAGGGTAAATGGAACATGCTGTGACCACTGGAAAGATCTGTGGAGGGAGGGATAGAGGAAGACAACGAAAGAAGATTCCCGACAGTCTTGTTGCATGGCATGAAGGTGTGTTAGCACACGAACTGATACATGATGCAGGAGATCGCAGATTGTGGAGAGGCATGATCGCCCACGCCAGCCAGCAAGGCACCTGATGATGATGAGACTGGCAGTCCATATGTGTCCTCGCTATTCATCTATGAAACCACATCACTGCATCTTACACACACTTTTTTCCCCACAAATCGACAGGATTGGTTTCATATAGATCGTAACCCTGAGCACCTAACAGGTTCACGTTAACTCATGACGTTGAAACGGTTAGCATATAAATAAGTTTAAATAACAAGCTGGAATCTGAGCTGATTGTGTATTGATCCGATAAGACAATGAGGTTTAAAAAAAAAAGAAAATGAGGAACCTATAAACTGGTGAGTTCTTTGGTACTGAATGACTTGAGAACTCGCTTACTTCATCTGACAAACATGAAATGCATAAAATATACAGTCATCATTAAAGACACGAGTTGTAAATGGTGAAACCTACAGTGAAGGAAAATCTCCAACTTGTCTCCAGTTGTTTGCGAATAAAAGTAACGCAGAAACAAAACAAATGAGCAAAACATATTGCCCTGACAAAACACGCATCTTTTCTCCAGGATGAAGTCGAACAATAAAGTAAATCACTTGGTCACATCTAGGTATAATGTATGGCCTTATCTCGACAACAAATAAGGATGTAGGTTCTATCAATAAACTTCCTTGTAATTTATGTTTACAGTCTGTGTTTCTTTGTATCAGTAAACCCATGTCTGATAAGTGTTGTTAATCTGCAATGATTTGTTGGGATTTATGACCGTGTTTGTTGCACTGCATGTTCAGATTAGCTGAAGTCTTTGAGTCGGTTGTTGCTAGTATGAATTATAATGAACATTAGGTAAGAACATAAACCATCATTTTTTTTTAATGTTATGACAAGAAGAACCTGAAACATGTTATGACCACTGGAAAGATCTATGGGAAGGGAAACACGAGACGAATCTTGACAGCCTTTTCGCATGGAAGGGTGTCACTACACGAACTGATACATGCTGTTGAAAATCGCAGACTGTTGCAAGGCACTGGATGGGGATGAAGAACACGAAACGGGGGTGAGATAGTGTAGTAATTATATTACCTGTCGGCTCCAAGATCTAGCGTTCAAATTGGCATCAATTGTACTTATTTATTTGAAAATGACATTGGCTCCCAGGTCATCTCAACCTAAAATAAGTACCAGGTTATTTCCTGAAAAGCACAGACGGCTGGCGTGTTGTTGACAACAGCACTCAACAATATCTGTTTGAGCTATACAAAATTAGTCTAGCTCTATATAATCTTGTTTCGGAAACTGAAATATGTTGGCCACATCATCTCCCCATAATATTGGTGGGGGGGGGGGGGGTGGGGGGGGGGTGGCAGAAGGCGTGGTAACAGGAAAAAAGCATGTGCCGACCAGCACGAAGATGAGCATAGGATATGACACTTTGGGAATGAAATAGCACAATACAGGAGAGCTGGAAGGAGACCAGATTTCCTTCAGGCAGACAGTGATGAGGGCGACGGTCTGCACAGGACCTGCTTCTCATGCCAAGGTGCATAAAATCCTGAAATGGGTCAGTTTTAAAGAACATGAACGCGCAGCTGAGGTACCAAAGGATCTACACGCTTACCTGTTGTGTAAAGGTCCTTTTAACTGACCCAAGTTCTCAGGTCGAAGGAGGCTAAAATAAGTACTAGGAATTATCACTGGTATTAAAGTCAGCTCGTTTATGTTAACCACATCACTCACCTGGTAGTCTACAAGAAGGTGAATACATCATCTTATGACAGTATTAGCGACTGTGTTGTTTATGGGTCCGACGATGAGTGCATCGATCGCCTGTCCAAGGCTATCTGCAATAGACGGTCATGGCCGGTCTGTGATTAAGGAGCAAGCAGGAACACATCATCACTACAAGAGTCTTCTCAGTGCTCTTGGTAGGCAGTCCTTGTCAGGCTACCCGATGGCGAATAATATAGCCATGAATATGGCGTAATTACCCAAATACATAAATAGAACCTTACACACTTGAGAAGCCTGGCTACCAAAGAAACCTGAAACGTGGTCGACTTGTTATTATAATTATTATTATTATTATTGTTTTTAAAACTGGAACTGGTATCATATGTCAGAATGGTAACTGAGGTGCAAAGGGTCGCTTACTTGATAATAATATTCCTGTACTGTTGGTGAATTTGTGGAAACTCGTCATTGTCTTTGGAAAGCATGGCCATTTTTCGTATCCGTGGTCATGGAAATAATGAGGAGTAGACACAATTCCAAGTAAGATAACGTACAACTGACTGGATTAGGTAGTCAGGCCTGACGTATACAGACACACGCAAAACATCACATGGAACAAGTATCAATGAGGCTAACAACAGAACAGGTCAAATTGTCAATTTTATGAAATAAATGTCTTATGCAATATATCTCTGTCTTTAAGGTAACGAAGAATATAATTTTTTCTTCTTCTTCTTCTTCTTCTTCTTCTTCTTCTTCTTCTTCTTCTTCTTCTTCTTCTTCTTCTTCTTCTTCTTCTTCTTCTTCTTCTTCTTCTTTTTCTTCTTGTTCTTCTTGTTCTTCTTGTTCTTCTTTTTCTTCTTCTTCTTCTTCTTCTTCTTCTTCTTCTTCTTCTTCTTCTTCTTCTTCTTCTTTTTCTTTTTCTTGTTCTTCTTCTTCTTCTTCTTCTTCTTCTTCT